GTGCTCTCTGCATCATTGCCTGTCCTATCACTGCCTGAAAAAATAATTTGAATTTAAGAGTTAACCAGTTAAGCAGCCTGTCAATTACACTGACAACATGAGTTAAAGGAACACTCATGTACTACCTATGTCGCCTATAGCCTATACAGCATGTTTCTTTTCACATTGAGAACTGACTTGTTTTCTAATCTACGCGTCACCAGGCGTTTTTCTTGTCCTTTTACCGTGCACGACTAGCGAACACAGAGCGCACGACTACTACCCCCCCCTCCCGTCGGTCGTTCCGCCCGCAACGACTACTACCCCCCCGTCGGACCTTCTCGACCGGTCCGCGAAATATTGTCTGACATGAAACCGGCCCGTGAGGTAAGAAAGGTTGGGGACCACTGGGCTGATCCACAACGTGTGTTTACACACCTCCTGGATCCTGATTGGTGTCGCTGCTGCAGCCGCAAGGCGCTGATTGGATGCTCACAGACCGTAATTCAGCGCAGATGAACATGATTCAGACTACGGCATTTATATGTTCAACAATAGGAAACGTAGTCTTAGCTGTTTTAAAATTACGTTATTAAGTTTATTTCGGATTATTCCAACGGAAGAATACAAGGCGCAGGGAACTTTGAGGTGCGTAAACGCCACTTATAGGTGCGTAAACGCTATTTCCAAAGTTCTAGAGGTGCGGTAAACGGCGTTTACGTGCGTTTACCCTCCACTACAGCCCTGCTTGTGTCTCCTGAGGGAACGACAGTCTTATCTATTTTGATATTGACTTTCTTCAACCCTTCACTCTCTCCACTCCACGAAAGGGCAGAGCAGTGTTTGTGTGTGTGTGTGTGTGTGTGTGTGAATGAGATAAAGTGGATATGTGGCCCACCCAGGGGCCTGGCAGAGGGAGCTGTTTACAGTCATCAGACAAGTCATCCTCTCTCTCTCCTCTGCCCTCTTCCATCGTTTCTTCCCGCCTCTCCCAGTTTGCTTAGACTATTTATTCTCTGTGATTGCAGATGGAAAAGCAGCCAGAGATTATGCAATATCGGGCTTAGAAACTAGGTACAAGGTAGAGAGCAACAATATGAGCACAGGACTGCCTGTAGGTGCAACTGTGTTGGAGAGAACTAATGTTTTTTTTGTTTTGCTTTGATTTGACCTGGATACTTGTGTATCGTGCAAATCTAAATCTTTGTCTTCCAGCCTTTCAGATATGTGGTTGTTACTGTGTGTTTGTTAATGTACTGACGCAGGACCACTTTATAGGACTGCATTGACTTTGAGCTATATATATATATTCCAATTGAACTGAGGTGCAGTTTGGTTATTGTGAATTAACCACAAGAAACCGCCCAAAAAACCTTCTCATGAACATGGTGTCCATTGTTTGGGCATTTTCTCATATGATTTTATGGGCTGAAGGAGACGGATGTTGATATTGGATAGCCAGCAGTTGATCATAATGGAAAAGGTGGCATAACAAAGTGAACCAAGGGAAAACCACAGCCTGTCTCATCACCGTAGTCAACTATTTACTGGGTATGAAGACCAGCGATGCTAATGCATGTCAAACGACACAGATAAGTTCCCAATGCCTTGTTAAACCTCAAGGAACTGGAATGACGACATGACAGGTTGCCAAAACTCTTTACCATAGACAAGCTGCTTGTGAGTCCATCTGACTTCTGTTTACAAGCCCCGGTTCACATGTAATTGGGCAGTGTGAACTTAAATGAACCAAAGACCAAAGAAGACGGACTCAGAAAGGTGCGATTACACTTTTTCAAGAGCGCAGTAAACGCTCCACCCTCTGGCGGAATTGAGCTGGAGCAAAGGCGCGAGACGTCCTCCGACTGGTCAAGTGGAGCTGGTCACCGGCACACCAGTGGGAAAGTGGCCGCTCTTTCAATGAGCAACTCAAGGTTTTTGGTGTCGATGTTTACAATTGTGTGAGTTGCTGGAAAAAAAAAAAAGCATGATGCATGCTGCACTCATCATTTCCCTAGTAAATAGGATTTACACACAGACACACACTCACTCACCCAGCAGGGGGTTGCCCTCACCTCTAATCCTGGCAACCTCATTGTGGGGTCTGTCCCTCCGTATCCTGCGAGGTTCGCCTACCGCGTTGCGGTCTTAATAGATTCGCACACACACACACACACACACACACACACACACACACACACACACACACACACACACACACACACACACACACACACACAGACACAGACACACACTCTCCAGCTGCATGAGCCCGAGCCTCATGAGGTTTCTCACCTCTCTCCGTTTCGCTGTGCGGCCCAGATTTGGCCGTACCCAAAAAAACACCATGAATTCAGTGGATATGTGGTCCGTCTCTTAAAGTTAAAAGTCCACCAGCGGTCCCTAATGACGCAGCCCAGACCGACACCCTAAATACACATTTCCTGGAACGGAAGATATTAAATTAAACCTTAATAAGGAAACATACACATGCACACAGATGGGGAAAGTGAGACGGGTTGGTCGAGAGTCAATGACAACATTTGCCTTCCCCTCTTAACCCCCCCAGTGTTTCTCCTCATTTTCCCATTGAGAGGGAAACTGTGGGTGTAATGGGTTGTTCATGTGCGTAAGAGAAGTATGTTTACATCACTAGCAGTGTGGGGCCTCGTCTCAATATTCCTGGATGGCAGCTTGATTCAATTGAGGAGCATGGTGAGGATGATGGCCTTACTGTTTTTCTACAGTGTTGTCGTTTTTGGCCGGGACCTCTGTATTCTCCATAAATCACTCAATATGCACTCATACACAAACACACGCTCCCCCCCCTGCTCACACGCACACACATACAATCACACACACAAGTAAATACTGGAGTAGAGAGAGGCAGACAGACACACAGGAAAGAGCGCTTTGGCTTTGAGCCCACGGAGACGAGGGGACATCGGCTTTGCCTCTGCTTTGGTGCGATGTATATATTTCAAACAAAAATAGGAACGCCCTCTGTCAGCACCTCCTCTCGCTGTGGAAATGTGTCCAGCAGACACACACAGACACACACAGAGGGCGCGGCCTGCTGCCAATAATAAGACTCGTTTAAAGAGTCTCGGTGCTTTGTTGACTTCAACCTCAGGGCTCTTTTGTCTTTGTTCACCGAGGCCGATATTAATCTTCGCCATGTGTATACACGAGGTGTCCAGCATAACGCCGTGTAACTGGGAATTGTCATGCAACAACGTTTGGTTCAAATTGGGTGAACCCTTTTTGGCTCACTGGTTCATTGTTCCAAACTCCCTCTCCCCCTCCCACACTCCTTCCCCGCCGCCCCCCGTTGCCAGGTCGGCTGCGGTAGATCCCTTCTCTCGTCTTCCTCGGCCCCGTGGTTGTGTCGTCTACACCCCCCCCCCCCCCTCCTTTCTCCCCTCTCTTCCTCGCATCCCTGCGGCAACAGTCCGTTGGCCTCCACCGGTGTTTGTGTTCTGGATTATGTGTTCCTTGATGGCAGCGTGTGCAGAGAGACTCACGGGTGCCTTGGCATTCAGGTGCCCCTCTACCTGTGCCCTCCTCGCTGGGTCCGCAACCGCGCCGCCGCCCTGCATTACTGCGCTTGCTAGTAAGCCTCCTGTACTGTGTGACACAGGCGCCGCCGATTGAGCGTGTTTGGCTTCAGCTGATCCTCAAAGCTGCTGTCAGATGGACAAATGGTTCAATTCAAGTTTGTGTAAAGTTTCATACCAAAATACTGCTGGAGTTGTGCTTAGGATGGTTGGGTGTTGTTCAATTTGCATTTAGACAAAAGAGATCATTTCTTGTATTTTGATCACATCATCACTATACATATATTTTTTTAATCATTTTTTAAATCAGACACTGAAAGCAGAAACTGATGAAAGCAGAAGCTTTCATCAGTGTCATCTGACGAGGGAACTAGTTGGATGAATGGGAAAATACCTAAACCCCTTCGTTACAAATGCACGATAAAGACCCTTCCTGTAGGTTGTTTCACTCGAGCATGTTTTGGAGAAGAAGAGCACGGCACCATTCTGTGTGTTTGAGTGAGCTTCATGTTGTGCCCCCACTCCCCTCTTTTGGGAATTGAACCATGCCAGGTGGTAATTATATGTTTTTCTTTGTATTTTAGGGTTTGGAAAGAGACAAAGTAACATTCACATCAAACAAACAAAATATTTGACATATTCAACAGAACGGTGGATTGACAATTGTGTTCGTGGAAGCGATCGATTTCACGGGGGCCCTTTAGAAATCCATGAGCCTCATTATTACATCCGATCGCTTGACATTATGAAGCGGAAGCTGTTGTTTTGTAAACTACTACGTCAGTAATCTCTAACTTTAGGAACCTGTAGTGAGGATTAAAAGCTCAAAAGCCAAACATGGTCTGATTAAAAATGACACTCGCAAGTGCAGTTGAAAAGGACGAGTCATTTAAGGACAGCGATTCTCCAGTTGAGACTGATAATAGTGAATTCCTGCTGCCTGGTGTCCATGGGAGAGGCTGAGTGGGATGGGCTCACGCCTGCACCCACTGACCTGTTTGTATTTTTGTGCGTGGGCGTGCATCCATGCATGTGTGTGTGTGTGTGTGTGTGTGTGTACACAGTACTGTACTCTACGGCGTCCGGACGCAGACTACGGGCGGGCTAGCGAATTAGCCACAGCCAGAGATGGGTTGGGATGGAATAAATAATGGTTACTGTCCTTTCCCCCTGAATAAATCAAGACCAGAGAAGTGGAGAGAGGTGAGAGAATAAATGTGGGGGAGAGTTGGAGGAATTGAATGCTAGAGAGAAAGGTAGCGTTTGTGTAACTGGGAATAGAATTATTATTCAGTTCTCTTCTCCGACGACGAGGAAGAAAATGCATTTTGACGCTTTTTCATTTGTTGCACAAAAAGTAGTTTGCAAAACTTTCAAAGATAAACCTTGTTTTATTAGGAAGCCAAATGTTGGTTCCTATGCTCATTTTTGCTCTCTTTTCTTTTTTGCCTCCTCCTGTCCCAGGCCCAGGGCCAGACGTTCACCTTCCCAGACATCTTCCCAGAAAAAGAACTTAAGCACGAGGAGGGTTCTATGGAGGAGATGCAGGAGAAGTTCATGGAGGACGAGAAGCAGAGGCAGAGGCTCGACCCCAGGAGAGGAGGGGTCACGGAGTGGTTCGGACTATGAGATGCCCCCCCCCCCCCCCCCGGACCGGGAACACTGGTCGCATTATTTGTCGTGGGTGTCTGATTGGGAGCTTCTATTTCTGTAAAGAAACCGTTCACAACGGAAGTGCAGTAAAGAAGAATGTGCGTGTTTGTAGTAAAGAAGAATGTGCGTGTTTGTGTGTGTGTGTTTGTGAGGCTTTGGTCCAGTAACACGTGCCGCAGGAGGAGGAGGAGAGTGGCCCGGCTCCATTAAACCAGCCCAACGTGGTCTGGTAGCTGTTTTGACAAAGTAATGATCTGTGTTTGAATCGGGCCACTGGAGGACCGAGCCCTCTTACGGTAATCGGGGGCCCACGAAGGGGAGGGACCTCTCTCTTGGACCCTCCATTATGCTGAAAGGCCAAGGTTACAGTAAGTGTCCCCCAGCCGTGACCACTAATGCTGCTTGGCTAATACAAAGGTCCAGTTCCCTGACCTCACCCAGCCAACTCAGCTATCGCTAAGGAGAATGTCAATATTGATCGCGTTGGCCCATTGTCTGCTGCCTGGAAAAATTCACCCGCCGTGTCGCTCTAAAGCAATCTGATTGAGAACTAAACAAGCCTCCTGCTACACCGCCACCCCATTTCTTTCTGTCTGCCTCATTCACTTTCTCTCTTTTATTCCAATTCTCTCTCTCTCACACTCTCTCGCTTACTCTCTGTTGCTCAGTCCGGACCGCCAGAGAAACAGCTGCTTAACCAACAGAGACCAAATTCCTGCTCTCACTCTCTCCCCCGGCCTGAACAGGCCTCACATTAAAGTTGAGAAATCAAGTTCTGTGGTGTGCGAAGCAATAATTTGTCCCCGTTCCGCTGCTCCTTGTCACAGGAACACTCTGTCTTCTAAAGTCGGATGCACACCCGTGTGCTAAACCTACCTAGTTTAATGTTTTGGACATTTGTGATTCTGCTAGAACAAACTAGGATAATCTAGGACATCTGTTGCTCATGCAGATAAATGTATCTCAGGCATGTATGCTCTTAAGAACAAAGAAAAAAGAACAACTGATTAAGTAATGTGTTTCTCAAAATCATTTATATCCTACAGAAAAAGGATCTGATTTTTACTCAGTGATCATTTTGGCTGACGAGATAATGAAGCCGATTATTTCAATCATTAACAACATAGCAGAGGAATAGACTTCTCCTTTTTTAAAGTGATGACATCTGTGGAGGATCGTTCAAAATTGTGTTTGGACCTGAATAAAACGGATGATTTCTTCTCTAGAAAAGAACACCGCTTTACTTCAAAACGCAACATTTATATCACAAACTTCTAAGGGTGAAATTAACGCCAATTCACAGTGCAATTTGGAACCGTGCTGTTTATATGTTAAGAATGTACAGTCAGAAAGTGAGGCAGACAGGCTCGAGGAGGAAGTAGCAGGACGTATCATCCAAAGTGTGTTGTTTAGTTGTTCTTGAAGAAGATCCAGAAGGCTGCATAACCGTGTAACAGGCAGAGCCGTATGACCTTCCTTCTCGCTGCATGCACCAGCAGGAGGAGGTTGTCTCGCAGTACTTTGATTTTGAGATCTTTTACAAAATGTATGCGTTAACTGCCGACTGTACAGGACTCCACAGAGGTCAAACATTAGGGCAGGGGTGTCAAACTCAATTGCACAGGGGGCCAAAATTCAAAACACACTTCAGGTCGCGGGCCGAACAGAATAAACATTTATTGAACACACTAAAACTAAATGTTTCTTTTAACATAAATATAAATACAAACAGACAGGAATGTTATTCTGCAATAAATAAACTTACACTTCAAATAACTTAAAATATCTTGCTCTCCATAAAAATATATCCAGTCAAAATGATACGAGTTAGAAATATGAACATGCTGCAAAACAAAACAAAACCTGGAAATATAAAAAAATGTGTGCTTTTCAGTAATAACAAATAACGATGCAAAACATTCAGTTTTCTTTTCTCTTATGCCATTTTATCAGAGCTGGATGCTTTGCATCTTTTTTTGGCAACAAGTTGGTTTATGTTTTTCGTGAGGTCCCGTGTTGTGGAGACTCTCAGGATGGACTGAAGGTGCTCATCAGTGAGACGACTCCTGTGTGCGGTATTGTTTTCATCACTGAGAACAGCTTCTCACACAGATATGTGCTACCAAACACGCACAAGGTTCGAGCCGCATGTAGACGGAGCTGGGGCATTGCTGCGGGAATGGAGTGATTAAACAGTGTCGTACTTTGTCTTTAGTGTCCCATCACACTGCAGCTCAATCAGCTCCATCTGAATCTGCACAGGTGCAGTTTCCACGTCGACGGCAAATGGGTTGCGAAACAACTCAAAATTATTTTTTTGTTCCTCAAAATCACCAAAGCGCCGTGCGAACTCCGTGCGCAGCGCGCTCAGTTTATCAGCAAAGTGCGTATTTGGGAACACCGTTGTTCCGCATTACTTGGCAACAGGGAAAGTGGGGCAAGTTGCACTGGTGCATTTGTGTCTCCCATAAAATCAGCTTCACTGGAAATGCCTTCACTGCGTCATACATGTCAGTGATCATGCGGTCACGTCCCTGGAGCTGGAGGTTTACGGCATTGAGACGTGCGGTTGTGTCAGACAGAAACGCCACCAAAAGCGCTCGCCAAGGGAGCTGAAGCGCTGCATTATGGGATCTGTAGTTTATTTTGTTATCAGCGCTTCATATCGTCGGGCCATTAGTAACAATAATATAAAATGATCTCGCGGGCCAGATATAATTGCATGCCGTGCCGGATATGGCCCGCGGGCCATGAGTTTGACATATATGATTTAGAGATACTTAAACATAGTTTAAGCATTGATTTACTATACTCTGCCTCCAAAATGCACTTCCATAAGAGCAACTATTCTTCGCTTCTAAAAGGAAATATGGTTTTTGTTCTATTTTTTGTCATTTTTGACAGAGTTGAGTGGTTAAGCACTCCTGAATAGAATACAAACTAAATGTGCAGCAATGTGATTTGAAGGCTGCATATGTGATACAATGTGCTAGCGGTCCTTGCTCCTGCAGAGGGCTTAAACAAAAAGTCACAAAGTCAGCGTAGGCCATCCTATCTTTGTCTGAAAATATCTTTACACCAAATGAATATACACTTCAAAGGAAGTTATTTCGCCTGAGCCATTCACTCCTTGTCTCAATGTTCTTCAAATACCCCTGGCTTCTGTTCATACCTACTTAAAAAAACGCAGGTACATGTCAGAGACCCCCACCTCCCCCATCCATCTGGTCTATGCAGCTGGCATGAAGGACCACATATCATATATTCCATCTGAATTTAGGATGACCGTAGGTTGCTACCAAGATTAATCCAGGGGTTCTGAACATTGTAATGCAGCACACGAAGAGTAAGTGCAGAGAAGGTGGACGATGGAGAAGGGAGGGGTGGGGGGTGGTCCAATATGTGCGTGCGAGATGAAGAAAGCCTCGGAAGGATGGAGAGGGAGAGCAGATGGAGGTGAGGAAAAAAGTGAAGAGGGTGAAGTGAGAGTGAAAAAAATACGTCACTGAGAAAATGCTGAGCTGGATTTAAGGGCTGCAGGATGAAAGAGGTCTATTCCCATAGTGCACCATGTTTTACTCTCTCTCATGAGATGTACAGTGCAGGCCGTGTTCCCCATCCCTACACGCCTAGTTAATGGAAGGGAGGTTGAATATTTTAGACAGCCCTTCATGCTCCTTCCTTTTCCCTCCTTACTCCTCTCCCCTTGCCTTTTATTTCATTTGTTCAGTTGTGCATTAGTCGAGTGCACACATGACCCTGTTTCTGCTACTGCAGCCAACGCTTGCATGACATGATGCTGTATTTTTGGGACTAGTGAGATGGGTGGCGCTATTGTCACCAGGAGGACAGAAAGCCATATTTTCCGTATAGATCGTTTTGTTTGCTGTGAAGCGTTGTTGCTGTTATACTGAATTTTGCATTGTGTTTTAGTGTTACTTGCATGTTTTTCTAGCAGGCATACTATTTGGACCATTGCAGCCACCGATCGCCTGCACTCACAGAGGCTCATTTGATCTACAGGGACCAATCGGGAGTGCTGGCACTAGTGAACTGGCCAGCAGCGTTGCTGGAGGGCAGGATCCCTCCTGGCGGCTGGCTTTCTACCTGGCGTTGCACTTTCTTCTATTTTCTATATCCGTTTGTTGTAGATCCCTTTTTAGCTGGACATTTAACGCTGTTTTACCGTTGGACTTTTAACAACTTAATTGCAGTAATTTTATTGGTTTAGATTATAAATAAAAGCATTTTTACCCACTTATGCTAATCCATGCTGATTTGCCTTTGATATAAAAAAAACCCTGTGATTTATTTTAAAATAGGTGTCATTGTCCGGCAACTTTTATCATCTATTTTATCAAGTTGTAGTCTATTTTAATTATTGGGTTTTATATCTCCTGCTTATGGGCCTGACGCCGCTACAGTGAATGTCCATCCTCCCTTTATAAGCCTCCTTAGGGGGCTGAAGTCCTTCTCACTGGCTGTAGTAACTTCTCACTTGCAAGGCAACTCTTAGTACAGATGCATCGCTGCATCTCATGGCTGCGAACAAATTGAATTGAAGTATCTCACACTAACGCTGCTGATGAGGTGCTTGATCTGGGTTTTCTTACATTGATTTACGCAACTCTTTGCTTGACGGTCAAATCACACACTCCCGTAGTTTATCAACTACCACCCCTTCCTAAATGTTGTTACGGAGGCCCACACTCCCACTTGTGTTCACTAAGACAACCGGGGTTGCCTGCTGAGGATTCTGACGGCCTCTCTTGGATCAGCGCCATGCACATTCCTCCATCGCCGGGTTGCCATTGGTTCATCTGAGCTCAGCCAGTGCACTCTGTCACCCCATGAGTGTGTGTGTGTGTGTGCATATATGTGCGTCTCTTTCAGTGTGAGTCCATGTACCGTGTGCACCTTTAAAAACAGTTAGCATGATCTGTTTTTTCAAGAATTTACTACAAACGCACACAGAGACACACATGTGGTGCTGGTCGTGATTCGTTGCGAACGCACACATACACACACACACGTGTTAAGTGTACCCTTATGAGGCCCCTCAGTGTGTGTATACTCCATCATACTGTACTTACATCTATAGGCTCGTTGGCTCAGAGCCAGCAGCAACAACTGAAGGAGCACGTTGTAGAAAACATGTGGACCGACTGTATTGTTGCTTAACTTGCAGAGAATCTGAATGGTTCACTATCAAACAAGGCTCTGCTAATTATAAGTCATGTCATTTAGCTGACGCTTTTATCCAAAGCGACTTACAATAAGTGCACTCAACCACAGGGGTACAAACTCAGAAGAGCAAGAAACCAGAAAGTACAATTTCCTCACATAAGCCAATTCACAATTTGCTATAGATGAGTGGCGTCTTTTAGTCGAGGTAGAGTCTGAAGAGGTGTGTCTTTAGTTTGCGGCGGAAGATGTGAAGGCTCTCTGCGGTCCTGATGTCTTCAGAGAGCTCGTTCCACCGTTTTGGAGCAAGGACAGCAAAGAGTCGTGATCTAGTCGAGTGTTTTGCTCCCAGTTAAGGACGAGCAGTTTGGCAGATGCAATTACAGATGATAATAATGAATTATTTCCTAAGGACACACTGATTTCTGTGCTTCATTTTTACATTTTACATATTTAGTTTTGTAAGATGATCATACATTTTGTATTTTGTAATTTAACTGCTAGTTAAGTGCTAAAGTTAAATATGTGCCTCTGTAATGTTTAGTTGAATAAAAATAAAATAAATAAAAACATTGCTTAGGTATTGCC